CAAATGGATTGGTTTTACGTACCTCTTATCTGCTATCTTAATTATTCGATTCTCATAGAAAATAAAGAACCGATGGCTTTTATGTAATGAAGAAAAAAAATCCTCCATTAGTATATGTTGATATTTTACGTTTTCGTTTTTAAAAAAGGAAACTATTTTCAAAAAAAGTGTATTTATAATGAGAGAAGAGAAAATTAAAACTAACTTATAAAAATGGGAAAGAAATTTTATTTTTAATATTCGTTTTTCCATCTGTAACTTTGACATTCTTCCTCCCCCCCTCTCTTTCTCTCTCTCTCTCTCTTTCTACCTTTCTCTTCAAACCACAGGAAATGCTGAGAAAATCATTAGGGAGTCTCTGGATGAATATTGTAAGCATCGTCGACTATTCGTCACGAATACTTCGCGATGTAACGTCAAGAGTTTCAAGGGATTATAATGAGATGCTACCGAAGAAGGGCTTGCATTTTAAATATGGCCTGTTGGAATGAACGTTTATTGGAACATCAAGTTAATGAACTTTGGATGAAAAAAAAAAAAAAACCCTCCAAACAATAATATTTTTTCTATCTTAAAAAATAAATTTTTTTTTCTAAATTAAACATACTTTTAAAAAGTTTTAATAACTCTAAAAGTGTTTCCCTCTAAATGGATATTGCAATTCCAAACATGCATTTCTTTGATGAAAAATGTCCCAACTCAACCTAATTTTTTAAAGTCAATAAGATCCTTTTCTTTGTGTTTGCGCAAAGAGGTCTTCCTCTCTCTCTCTCTCTCTCTCTCTTTCTCTCTTAGTCGAAGCTGAAAAGTAAAGTTTCATTGCTGGAAAAGAGATTGCCAAGAGAATCAAAAAAAAAAAAAAAAAAACTTGACTGAATTTCCCCAGCAACGAAATTTCATGTATAGTTTCGCACATTTTCGATCGGAAGTTGGCCACGGAAGTATGTGAGGGAAAAGGACAAGTTGATGGATTTTAACCCTAACCGGTATTCGATTACCGATCGAATTCCCTCCACCGATAATCCATTACTGTTTTTGCTCGTATATACATCCCTTCGATAATTCCCACCTACAGACGTTGAATCTGTCTCTCTCTCTCTCTCTCTCTCTCTTGCAGCGAATACTACACCCTCATGATTCGCATCTTTTTAGTAATTTATCTACTTGAATTGAGTTTGTCAACAAATATTTTTCAAATTTCACAAAAAATTTTCAACTATCTAATTAGTAAAATGTAACTGTACCGAAATAAAAATTTACTCTCTAAATTTGAATTAGTTAACCCCTTGACTGTCGACGAGATTTCCACTATTTGGGCCAAAAGTGTGTTGAAAAAAATTGTAATGAATTTTTATGAAACTTGGTATCTTAAGGTTTTCAGGGTCGCTGATTACGAACCTAAGGTCGGTTTTTCAAAATTCAAAATGGCGGATCCAATATGGCGGACGACAATTTGAAAATATAATGCAATTCGTTTGAAAATGGGTACTCGGGGGTTTTTGGGGTCGCTGATTACTAATTCGATGTTAGTTTTTTAAAATTCAAAATGGCACCAGCTAATGTCAAGGTATTTAATTAAATTTGATTCTATACAAAATTATTGTACAACTGCAATAATCCGTTATTCAATAATTATCATAGGTATTGGTTCCGTCATTTTGAATTTTAAAAACTGATGTCTCATTCGTAATCAGCGACCCCGAAAACCCCCGAGTAACGAGCTTCAGTCGAATCCGATCAATTTTGAAAAATTTTCCGCCATGATGGATCCGCCATCTTGAATTTTAAAAAACTGATATCAGATTCGTAATCAGCGACTCCGAAAACCCCTGAGTAACCATTTTCAAGCGAATTGTATCATATTTTTAAATTGTCGTCCGCCATATTGGATCCGCCATTTTGAATTTTGAAAAACCGACCTCAGATTCGGAATCAGCGACCCCAAAAACCCCCGAGTAACCATTTTCAGAAATATTTGTACTACTGGCGCAGTACTGGCACAAATTTGGGATGATAACATTTTACCAGTATTGGTTACCAGAATTTGCACCAGTACTGGTTTAGTATTAAATTTTTTTGTATTATTGTTTAAAAAATCACTACTACTAGATTACTGACAAGTAATACTGGGCCAGTACTGGTTCAGTACAGACTGTCGAATCTAGGCAGCCAATACTGAGCCAGTACTGCGCCAGTAGTGAATTTTGCAATAATACGGCAATTTTTGTTTTGGAATAATTTGTGAATAAAATAGAATAGTGTTTATGGGGCGAAATATGCATTAGACAGATTGGTCTTTAACGATGTCGAAAGAAATCTCACGAATTGTGATGAAAAGATGAGGAGAAAAAAGAGGGGCAGAAGGATTATTGAGAAAGGCAAAAAGCGAAAGTCTATATAGAGAACAAAAAAAGTCACTTCATTGTATATCAGGGCGTCCTCACAGGGTTAACTTGATTTATAAGAAAGGTTTCCTCCTTCTTGTCACTTGCTCGATGAAAAGTTTATTATTATCCACACCAATTTCTTTTTTCTTTTTTTTTAACTGATCGAAATAAAAAAAACAGTACTCAAATACTATTAGGAAGATTTTATTATATATATATGGGACGTTCTTTGTCAACCGGACCACCCCATCTCTCCATAATTGGTTTAATTTAAAAAAATTTTATCATATTGGAAAAATTAGCTTGGAATATCTACTTTTTAATCCCGTTGGGCGCTTTTTGAAATTCAAAATGGCGACTTAAATATGGCGCCTAAACGACATAAAAAACACAAAAAATCCACTAATATGATCTATATTATTGTTTAAAGCTTCACATATGACGATAAAAATAACCACAACATAGTTTACTTACAAACTGATAACGTATCTCCATTCAAAACTCAAAAATTCAAAATGGCGGATTAAATATGGCGGATAAAATTAAAAATTGAGCTAGACTCGTGAAAATTACTACTTGGGGGTTTTCGAGGTCGCTGATTACGAATCCGGTGTTAGTTTTCAAAAATTCAAAATGGCGGATCCAATATGGCGGACAAAAATTGAAAAAATGGAGCTAATTTCGTAAAAATGTCTACATAGGGGGTTTTTTGGTCGCTGATTACAAATCCAATGTCAGTTTTAAAAAATTTTTAAATGGTTGATGACAAATCTCTATTTAAAATTCAAAATGGCGGATAGAATTAAAAAATTAAGCTAGTTTTGTGATTATTAATTAAATAATCCTCACGTAATTTCCATAAAAAGTTATCTGGCGTTGTATTTGATAAGTTCAAATGGCACCTTTTTACGTTCAATATAAAAAAGTTAGATCAATTTCTTATATTTTGGTCCACCATTTTATATTCACCATTTTGATTTTTTAAAAAGTAACGATGAATTCGTAAAGATTGTCCTGAAAAACCCTTAGGTAGACATTTTAACGAGTTTAGCTCAATTTCTTGGATTTTTGGTCAGCCATTTAGAATTTTTAAAAAGTAACCGCAGATTCGTAATCAGTGGCCCCGAAAACCCCCCAGTAAACAATTTTACGGGTTTAACTTAATTATTTAAATTTTGGGCTACTATTTTAAGTCTGCCATTTTGAATTTTTAAAATCTAATAACGGATTTGTAATCAGCGACCCCAAAAACCCCCGAGTAACAAGTTTCAGGCGAATCTAAACGATTTTTTAATTTTTGTCCATCATATTGGATCCGCCATTTTGAATTTTTGGAAACGAATACCGGATTCGTAATCAGCGACCCTAAAAACCCCCGTGTAACAAGTTTCAATCGAATCTACACGATTTTTCAATTTTTTGTCCGCCATATTGGATCCGCCATTTTGAATTTTTGAAAACTAACACCGGATTCGTCATCAGCGACCCCAAAAACCCCCGTGTAACAAGTTTCAATCGAATCTACACGATTTTTCAATTTTTCCGCCATATTGAATCTGCCATTTTGAATTTTTGAAAACTAACAACGGATTCGTAATCAGCGACCCCAAAAACCCCCGAGTAACAAGTTTCAGTCGAATCTAAACAATTTTTCAATTTTTGTCCGCCATATTGGATCCGCCATTTTGAATTTTTGAAAACTAACACCGGATTCGTAATCAGCGACCTCGAAAACCTCCAAGTAGTAATTTTCACGAGTCTAGCTCAATTTTTAATTTTATCCGCCATATTTAATCCGCCATTTTGAATTTTTGAATTTTGAATGGAGATACGTTATCAGTTTGTAAGTAAACTATGTTGTGGTTATTTTTATCGTCATATGTGAAGCTTTAAACAATAATATAGATCATATTAGTGGATTTTTTGTGTTTTTTATGTCGTTTAGGCGCCATATTTAAGTCGCCATTTTGAATTTCAAAAAGCGCCCAACGGGATTAAAAAGTAGACATTCCAAGCTAATTTTTCCAATATGATAAAATTTTTTTAAATTAAACCAATTATGGAGAGATGGGGTGGTCCGGTTGACAAAGAACGTCCCATATATATATATCTTTTAGATAAATCATTTTATTAAGTTTTTTCAATAAATATTAAAGTACAAAAGTTATTAGGTTTTATATTAAAAATTTTATTTGTTTCAATAGGAAAAAAGCATTTTATATTGTTGATGGCAGTGATTTTAATTACAATGTAATTTTTATCGTAATGCTTGAATTCTTTGAAATGCTGTTAAGGATTCCACTCGAATACACGAAGCAATCAGGTCCTCGAGGCGAAGGGACGCCGCGACGTTTTGATCTGTGAAGATTAAAGGGCCGCTCTCTTTTTTTTTCTACGCGAATATTTCTTACATTTATGACACACACGTGAAATGCAAAGCGAGTGTAAATATCCCACTCTTCATTTATCATTTTCACTCACACAATGTAAAACAAGGCACAATCTGTGGCATTCCATCTAAGCTTTTCATTGTCAAAAAAAAAAAAAAAGAGTATTCTCAACTTCCATCAAAGAAAAAGATTCACAAAATGTAGAAAAAATTTTAATTTAAAATTAATAGGTTTGAAATAAATTTTTTTAATTCTGAGAATTACAGGTATTTTATGAAATATAAAAACTACAAATTTTTCTATTAATATGATGGAGGGAAAAAGAGATTTAGATCAATATTGTTTTCATTAATCACTTGGGTACATTTTCCTTTTATGCAGTACTGAAATTTATAAAAAAAAAATCATTTGTCAAACATTACCACCAATCAAAAGTTGGAAATTTATTTTAAAATTTATTCTCACCATATTTGAATTGCAAGCGATTCCTTCAGGTGGAAATAGAGGTAAATCGGTTAGTACTAGATGTGTTTTAGCGTCCATATAGCATGTTATACTTTCACATCTATTTTCCCTAATCTAGAATAAATATTCAATTTTTTGAAACAAAACTTAAGTGGTAAATTAATTTAATGACTTTAAATTTCGGTAAGAGAATAAAGAATCAAACCTCTAAATGGTAGCAAAAATTCAATTCTTATTTTTCTAGAATAAAATTTTCAACAAAAAAAAAACTTACAAATGCCCCGTGAAATCCTAATTTGTGACATTGTTCATTTATGGTCATAAATTTAGCAGGCAATATTCTTAGTATTTGCTTATCTTTTCTATTAACAGCAGGATTGTTACGAAGACAATTAGCATCCTCTCGACTAAAATAAATTACTAATTTGTTATTTTTGCTTGTACGATTTATTAGAAATAATTATTTTTTACAATGAATTTTCATTTTTCGAATTAGAATTAAATTGAATTTCTTTTGAATACGAATTTTGATATATTTAAATTTTAATTCGAAAATTGAAAATTTGTGTAAAAAACAATTATTTCTAATAAAATATCTACTTTAAAATAAAAATTATTGATTTTTTTTTGTGGAAATTGCGTCGTAATTTTCTGTATGTACCTAAAAAAGAAGGACATCATTTCCTCACTGCATTTGGAAAATAATAAACTTCTACCATTGGAATTCTCTGTTGTCATAATATAGTTTCCAGAATTACATTTTTCTGCACCTGGTCCATTTACAATATCTCCCGTTCCCATACCATCATGATAAACACCAAATCTAAATTTTTAACAATTGACAAAAAAATATTGTTGATTTAGCAACTATTTTTTTTTTTTTTTTAAATAATATTATATCCAGATAACTTTTGTTAAACTTACAAATGAGCTAATTCATGAGCAATATCTGAAATTCCCGAAAACATCGTATCATCAAAAACAATAAATGTTGAAACAATTTTTCCAGTTATAATAAAATCTGTACAAGCCCCACCTTGTTCAGTTGCTATACCTTTAAAAAATAATTTATTTGAATGAAAAAAAAAATAGATATCTTTCAATTAAAAACGAGTGAAAACAAATTAAACCTACCGGTATTATTTGAATAAAAATTATATAATGGATTTCCACCAATTAAAACGGCAATATCATAATTTTCACGAATTTTAAATGGACTCTGATGATATAGAAATGTATTAAAACGTTCTAGCGTCTCAATATCTACAATAAATGGTGTTTGCTCCGCGAACTGTTTAAAAATGCATTTTTATTATTATTTCTATAAAGAATAGTATATTATGTGGCAAGCACGTAAAGTAGTACTTTTTAGGTATTGAAATCATCCGAACCTAAAAATTACTACGTGCGAGCCACATACGCTATTTTTTTCGCCATTTTTATGAAAAAGTGAAACAATTTTAAAGAAATATATATATATATATATATATATATACACGGAAAAAAGAAAAAGTAATTTTTACTACTTTCATAGTAAAATGGGATCTGTCCGAAGTTTCTGCGCATCTCTGGCAACTTTTACTCAAAAAATAGTAAAATTTACTAGTTTTGTAATAATTTTTACTATTTCTTGAGTAAATTTTACTATTTCTGGAGCAAATTTTACTATTTTTGGAGTAAAAGTTGCCATAGATGCGCAGAAACTTCGGACAGATCCCATTTTACTATGAAAGTAGTAAAAATTACTTTTTCTTTTTTTCCGTGTATAATATATTATATATATTATATATTATTACAAAAATTATGCAAAAATTAACAACTGCCTAAAAAAGACTTTATAGGGCAGTTTACTGCCTAAAAAAGACTTTATAAGGCAGTTTACTGCCTAAAAAACTCTCTAAATCTGAATAAGTGAAATTTCACTTAAAATGTGTCAAAAGTCTTCCACGTAGAAAAATAAGTGTATATGCACTTAAAAATAAGTGTAACTTCACTTATTTTTGAGTGAAAACCACTTATTTAAAAGTGCATATACACTTATTTTTCTACGTGGAAGACTTTTGACAAATTTTAAGTGGAATTTCACTTATTCAGATTTAGAGAGAAGACTTTATAGGGCAGTTTTCTGCCTAAAAAAGTCTTTTTTAGGCAGTTGGCCCAAACTGCCTTAAAAAGTGCTACTTTATTTGCCCAAAACAGGCACAAAAAAGACACTTTTTCATGTCAATGGCGAAAAAAAATTTAAATATATTTTTTTATTTACAAATACCTGCAATATAACTATTCCAGCGATGTTTAAACGAATTTTAGGAGTTTTCATTGATCTAAATAATAAATCTACTCCATTAAATAGAGTAAGTATATAAGCCACTGTTTTTTTAACATCTTCATTAAATTGTCTAATAAATTTAAAAAATATTGAAAAATTAAAAATATATTTTAAATAGTGGAATATTTTTATTTATATTAAAATATTTCAATTAGTTAATAAAATTAACTCACCGAAAAATTGAATTATGTACAAAAACTAAAATTTCTGGATATACTGTATCTGGTACTCCTAATGTTGATTCTTTCATTACTTCCCATGTTCTATTTAGATATTTATTAACATAATATTCTAAAAGTAAAATTTTATTTAAGTCACATGAATTTAAAGAAGTTAAAGTATATTGTATTTACGTTCTTACTTTCAATAGTTAAAATTCTTTCTTTAATTATATTATCATTATCTGTTGTCATCGAACTGTTAGAATCATCAGTCTAAAAAATTAAATTTTGTTTCAAAAATATATTTTTTTTCTTGAAATTTTAATTCATTGTTTATTAGTTTGCTTACAAATTCTAAATCTTCTTTTTCATTTTCGACAATGAAATTTTTACGGTCCTGGTAAAAGGAAATGTTTACTTCTTTCATAATCTAAAAAAAAAAAAAATTATTTTTCTACCATTTTAAATTCTATTAATTAATGGCAATTTAAATGCAAATAATTTTCACAGATAAATGTTTGTTCATTTCTTACATTTTCTTGCAATGTGTAGTCTAACAATTTTTTAGAGAGCATTGTGTCATTGTCTTTTGTATTTGCTAACCAAACTTTTGTTTGTTCACCAGCAAAGTATCCTTCATCGGATTGCAAAATATAATTTTCTTCAATGCCCTTAATTTTTGTTTTTACAAACATTTCAGTAATCGTCTCTTTATTACAATTGATTTTCGGTTTAACGCTATTGTTATTATAATTAAACACTAAAAATTGAATGAAGAATATATATTTTTAAATTATCTCTAAAGAATTAATGAGAATTCGTTTTCTATAATTATTTAAACTTAATTTAAATTAATGACAATTTGAAAATTTTTGAAATTTCATTTAAATTACATACCTTCACCATCCCTTGACAACGTATCTGGATATGTGATATTATTTGACAACTAAAATTAACGTAATTTGTTTAATTTTCAGTAATATTGAAGCATAATTTTAAAAACAATTAATTCTAAAAAATTTAAAAATGAATATTACCTTATAACATTGTGTAAATGATAAAAACAATGAGCAGAATATGATAAATTTAAGAAACATTTTTAAGTTTTATTAAAAAAAAATTTTTAAACTAACTTTTTTTTAATGCTTAGCTTTAAATTTGAACTGTAATAATTTTTCGCATTGACTAGAATGCCAGATTCTGAAAAATCATTTATATATATATATATAGTTATTTGCCACGTGTCTTTTGAAAATAGCAAATACAATAATAATAATAAAAAAAGTCAAATAGTTTAAAGATGTTTCTTTGAATATTATGAATAATAAATAGATGTAAATTTTAATATTCATAAAAAAAATTAATTAAAGTTACAGTTGAGTAAACATTTCCATTCTTAAACACGTGGAACTATAAAAAAAAAATGTAACTATTTCAATTTTCATTTACGTTAAACTAAATTTTTAAGATCATTGTTGTAAATCTCAATTGGTTTTCTCAATAAATTTTTTTAATTTTATCAAATTTCGTAGCGACCCTCAAAAATATTAACGAATCGTTGTTACGCATGTTTTAAAAACTATTTGACATTTATTTTATTTATAATTTTTAAAACACCTTGAATTTTTTTTTTTTATTATCATATGCATATATTTTATGTCAACATTATAATGAATTATATAATTAAATCAACACATGTCAGTCGATAATAATTGTATTATATAGAAACCAAATATTTATTTTTAAATGATAGAATACTTGATTATTCCAGTTTATTATTTTCAGTTGAATAATTCACTATTTAATATTTCCTAATGTTTGCTTATTGTTGAAACCGCTTTTTTGGATAATAATTAATCAATAAAATTAATGTGTCCAAATTGTCGCAAAAATTTATATTTTCAGTAAATAAATTTTTTTAAGAATTTAAAATTTTTTTGAAAATTCTTACGTTCACTTTTCTTTATAATATGAATTTGAATGAAGAGTTTAAACCCTTTTTAAGAATCTTAAGCACTTAATCTTCACACTTGTGATAAAAAAAAAGTACTTATTGCATAAGAGAAGGTCAGAGAAAAAAAAGACCACAGTTTCACAAATCAAAGATCTCATTCTTAAAAAGACTGAGCATTTAGCGGGAAATAAGAAGGATGCAAAAAATTGCGGTGTGATAAATAAAATCTGACACTCGAGGAGGCGTGTCAGATTCTCCCTCAGAGAGTAAAATGTTGTCTTATTCTTTACTCTTAAACTGCGATCTTTTTGGCCCAAAAGAGAGAGAGAGAGAGAGAGACAGCAAGGGGGGGGGGAAGTGAACCCTTTTGGCCAGTGAATGGGGTGAGAGTCGAGAAATTTTGCGGTTCCTTAAGCAAAAACTGGTTCTCACCTTTATGCCTGTATGTGTTATATACTAGTACTCTTCAGACCGAAATCATCGTTTTTCTTTTTTTTTTTTCTTCTTCTTTTTCTTTTCCTCGTTTTCTTAATCTTTCCTTACATTACACGTTCCGCTTCTCATTCCAAAACACCGTAATCGGTTGTATATTTGCGGCTTTCAAATTGGATGTTTTACAATAAGAAAAAATAATATCAAAAGAAAGCATCTATTGTTCAAATTGAGAATTTTTTTTTTTGAAATTATATTTATTTAAAAATACGAATATTCTTCCATGTTTTTTTGTTGACGTCACGTATGAGAGGAAATATTAAAATATATATCCTTAACGACAAATGATATTCTTGATTATCGTTTTGAGAATGAGTGTGTCTGCTTAATTATTATACGGCGCAAGTTTTCGTGTGCTTTCAAATTTATGAGAACGCATCATCGAATCGCTTTATAGCAAAGCAAAGCACCGTGTGTGCGCATCTCACTTCATAACTTCCTCTAGAGGATTGAGAATGCCCTTGAGGCCGCGGTTATATATTACAGCCAGTAATGAAGACTCCAACAGCAGCATGCTACCGACGGTATCCTTGTTTATCACCTCAACTCAGATATACAATTAACATGTTGAAAAGATTGCCAGGTTAACAAGGAATCCACGACTAGAGTGAAACAGTAACGCCCCTATCCTTCTTTTTCCAACCTCTGCTTTCTTCACTCCAAAAACCTCTTCTCTTTTATTTTTCTTCTTTTAAAAAAATACCTTTATAATAAAAAAAAAATCTCTTGTATCAAAAACAAAAATCTACACCATTTTTTTTTAATATAAATTCAATTTCGATTTAATGAATCGATATTAAAAATTATATAAAGAATTAATTTTTGCCTTCTTTTGGATATTTTCTTATATAATATCATATATTTTAAAACTTTAAAAATCAAAATCTAAAGCGTATTTTCTTGTGAAAGAAACCCAGAATTATTGAAGATATAATTAAAGGGAAATTTTTACCGATCCTCATGAGATTTCATATTCAAGCTCACCTTACATTATTATACAATATATAATTTTGTACCTTCCTTCTTATAAGTGATCGCTTGCGGCTAATTTGAAAACTTGGCGCCATTGAATTTATGACATTTTTTTTTTATCGCTATATATATATGAAGTAGAGAACTAAATGTGGAATAATTAGAAATAGAAACTTCTATTAGCATACATAAAAATTACTTTCTATCAAAAGAACAATATTTATAGAGATAATTATTTTTTATTTACAAAATATTGTTATTTTCACAGCTCTTGAACATACTCGAGGCATTCATCAAATGCCATTAGAATCATTGGGGGATTAAAATTTCCCAGAATTTAATTCATGTTCATCGTAGACAATCCATTTCAATTACATTAAAGTCGTTTGAGGTATATATATATATTGTAAAATGAAACTTTTCGCTGATTTTGCTTTTAGCTTTGTTTGGAGTAATATTACATTCTACTAAAGACAATGCATGTCATTTCAGTTTTTGCTCTCATCTCTTTGATGCTGAATAAACACATTATGTGTTACAAATGTATCATAAAATATTGCATAATATACTTTTTTTTAACTTTTTGAATGTCAATGAATCGAATAATGAAACTGTAATTTTTTTGTTAAAAACCCTTATGATTTTTTTGCCTTTTTTTTGGCAGCTCACTTTAGAATTGAAACTACAAAGTGCGTTCCCCAGTATTAGAGAAATTAGAAAAATTCACTCTTATAAGAGTTCCCAAAGAATTTTACTCCCGTTAGAAATTGTTTTCTTGAGAATATTTTTTTGCCTGATAATCATCCCTTTTTCTCACACATATAGTTATTCGACTTTTGCTGAGCGTCTCTCTCACTTTCTTTATGCTTTATCTTCCCTCTTTTTCTCCACCTCATCCGACAGCCTGTTTCTGTTTAGTAGAAGGCGATGAAGCGAGGGCCGTTGTTGTGCGATGATTATTCAGAGTGATCGAGAGAGTTCACCGAGTGGGATAAACTCAACCGTAAGAGATTGCTCACTCTCTGTCTTTTCCGTCCTCCCGTCATATCTCTCTTGCATACTGGTTCATCGCTTCATCTGTATGGTTAGTCAGTCACACCTACGCGGCAACACAACCAATGCACTAGCGGTCTCTTATATAAACTAAAGAAGCACATGGCCCCGAACTGTCATTTTAGTGGCCTGATGAAAAAGAAAACGCAATTATTTTATCGACTCAATTCGCTAAAAAAAATTAGAAAATAATTTTTCAAGTCGTTTTTTATTTTTACTACTGAATATTAATTACAGAAAATGTTCAACAAAAGTATAGAAAAGGGATATTAAATTTTTTTTTAATAAAAAAAGAATTCTCAATATTCTACTTATCTCTTGAAATCGTTATACAAAAAATAAGAAACTAAAATCAAATGCCATTCTTTTGTTTCAGATAAATATGGAAGCGGTAACATCGACCGATTACGATCCATCGAATCTCAGTCGGAACTTCAATCAAGTGGGATTTAATACCTACAATTATTCCCAATTCGAGGATAAATATAAACCTCAACAAATCTTAAAATACGGCGACGAATATCTTGAGTATGGGAAAAATTCCGTTAAAATGGGATTGAATGCAAAATGGTCGTCACGTCATCAACAAGAAATATCAACAAAATTCAACCAACGACACCCACGAAGTCATTCACAGCCAGAAAAACAGCATCATCATTACAATGAAACAAGATCAAAATCACAAGACTCAAGAGAATTGACATTCTATCAAATAGATCCGCCCCTCAAGTATGACAGTCAAAACATCAAATATCATCATCATCATCATCATCATAATCATAGATCGGGTGAGAAAATTCTCCAAGGCAATAAAGAATTAACATTTTATGAAATTGATGGTCCACCTGTACATGAGAAAAAAGAAGTGAAATTTTCACAACCAGAAAAAATTGATAAACGTAACGATAAAATTATTTCATCTAAACATAATAATCATGGTAAATTAATTCATCAAGAGCAAAAAATAACAACAAATTTTCAAATGAATAGATCACAATCTGATCTTGGTGATAATCAATTAACAAATTTTTCACGATTACAAAATGGATCATATAGTGAGCCACCGAAATATCGTCCATTTGATAGGCCACCAAAATATCAAGAGACACCACCGAAAATTGAACCGCCACCAAAATATCATCAGGAACCACCAAAATATTCGGAGATCGTTAAAAAACAAGAGGATACAAAACAAACTCAGGTGATTATTAAATATATTAACCCTTTCGTTCCCAAGATAAACTGAGAACTTCAAAAAAGATAAGTGAAATTGTTCTTACAGTTTTTCGGGTCGCTGATGACGAATTTGAGGTCAGATTTTTCAAATTTTTAAAATTCAAAATGGCGGATACAACATGGCGGACAATTTTTTTAAAAGTGATTAAATCCGCTCGAAAATGGCTACTCGGGGGTTTTTGGGGTCGCTGATGACGAATCCGGTGTTAGTTTTTGAAAATTCAAAATGGCGGACAAATTTTTGAAATTGTTAGATTCGCCTGAAATTTGTTACTCGGAGGTTTTCGGGGTCGCTGATTACGAATCTGAAGGCAGATTTTTAAAATTTTCATAAATCAAAATGGCGGATTCAACATGGCGGATAAAATTTAAAAAATTGACCCAATTCGTTTCAAACTCGCTTCTCGAGGGTTTTTGGGTTTTTTTTTAAATTCGTTCACCATATTGGATCTATCTTTGAATTTTTATAAATTTCAAAAATCTGACTCCAGATTCATAATTAGTAACCCCAAAAACCCTTGAGAAGCAAGATTAAAACGAATTGGGTCAATTTTTTAAATTTTTTATCCCATGTTGAATCCGCCATTTTGAATTATGAAAATTTTAAAAATCTGCCTTCAGATTCGTAATCAGCGACCCGAAAATCTCCGAGTAACAAATTTCTGGCGAATCTAACAATTTCAAAAATTTGTCCGCTATATTGGATCGGACCTTTTTTTATTTTTGAAAACTAACAGCGGATTCGTAATTAGCGACCCAAAAAACCCCCGAGTAACGAGTTTCAAGCGAATTGCATTAGATTTTCCAAAAGTCGTCCGCCATTTTGAATTTTGAAAAACTAACATTGGATTCGTAATCAGCGACCCCGAAAACCCCCGAGTAACAAATTTCAGGCGAATCTGAACGATTTTAAAAATTGGTCATTTTTAATATTTATTTATATATTTTTTTAAACAATAGAAATTTTTAGACATCATCTGGTCTAGAAATTTTGAAAGCACTATTCCTCCTGAAGAAAATGCCTCAAAGCAGACTTAGAAATATTAATTTTGTTCAGAGTTATTGAGGTTTTTGTAGGTGGAACATATATGTCCCATGGGAACGAAAGGGTTAATATAATTCTTGACTAGATAGCGATAGCTGCTTGCTACTTTCCAGAATTTTTTCCATGGCCCAAACCGAGGGCAAATCTGTCGTTCTTAAGATCTTAGGGACGCCAGACTTGACCCCGATTTGGGCCATGGCAAAAATTTCTACACGGGAACATTAATCTAGTTTGCCAAGGTTGCGCCAGGTTAACAACTAGCTAGAATTGCGTCCCGTGCAGAAATTTGGAATTGGCTCTGACAGGACAAACCTGACACTAACCTGAATGAAACAGGTAATCCTGTCGGGGCTGGCCCTGGCCTGGTTGAAAAATGGAACCCGACCGGAGAAAATCGCCAACTTGGCTCTCACCTGGTTGAAAAATGGAACCTCGGTTCTAATCGATTTTGATTCGGCTTAAATAAAACTTATCTTCTGTCGGGTTCTCTTATATCAAAAAACTTTTCATGTTTTTAAATTAATAGTTTTAAAAAAACCAATAATATTTGTCTCAAGAAAAAAGGTAAAATTATTTCACTAAAATATTTTGCAAAATAAATGATGGTTGATAAAGAGAAACTATATATAGCAGTAGTATAAAAATAATCTTGTAAAATAAATTCGAATCGATAGATTGAATCAGAAACAACGCTAATTGATACATCAATGATCTCTTATCAATTGCAGGAGGAAAGGTCCAGACGTCCTACAACAGTTGGGGGTGGCGTTGTTAGTGGTACGAGAGGGGGAAATGTACATGGAGTTGAGGCGCCTTCCAATATGGCCAGTATCACGCCAACCGCGCGCGAGACAACACGGGGAGGCGCCGCTACATCACGTCAGCGTCAACAACTCAAGTCCACTAATATAAACAATGATTCGACAATTAATAAAGATGATTTTCATGAATCATCGGAAAATTTTGATAATTTAAAATCACCACAACAATTATCACGTCCAATTACTTCTATTGTTAACGATACGATTAAGGATAACAAATCAAAAAACACTGTTGATTCCCTTATCAAGCACAGTGAAACAACACAAGGTCGTCTCATTGCTGACAAGTCAATGATTAAATTAGAAAAGACAAAAGTCATCCACGATATTGGCGGTAAGTCATCTGATAAGATGAAATCCGTTCAGGATTCAGTTCATAAACATGAATCAACAAAGGGTAAATTGAATCACGATACATTGGCCTATGGTGGTTATAAGGTGGAGAATTTAAAATATTATGGAGAATTGAATTTTAAATCGTATGGTAATATTGATAAACCGCCAAGTACTGAGAAAAATCATCAACATTCATCATCGGAGAAGAGTTATCAGATTAATGAAAAGTGTCAGGGCAAGTTACTTCAGAGTTATGTGAAGGGTGGTCAGTCAGAAAAAAGTGTTTATAGTGACAAGTATGGTGATCATTATTATCATAGATCGTCCCACGTGAAGCCACAAAATCCGTATCAAGTTTATCAGGAGACCAAGTACTCGTATAACGTGAGTGTCACACCAGGAACACCAGCGCAAGCCAGCGCAGCCGCAGCTTTCTTTGCAAGGTGAGTCACTTTACTTTTGGATTAGATATTTTTGGAAACTGCTTTTTTGCATAGTTTAGTTCCTCTTCTATTCACTTGGACCAAATTCATCTAAGCTTACGAAAAATCTAATTAAATTACAATCAGTCGTAAAATATCTATATTTATTGCAGGGCTGCAATGATTTTAATAATGATTTAAATCACAATTTACCTCGAAGGGTTATTTACATTTAAATCATGATTTAAAAAAAAATTTGTAATTTCATTTAATTTTCTATATTCTAAGGTTTAAAATTTTGATTCAAATACCCTAAAAATACGAACCCATGATCATGTTCAGCACACTAAAATACATTGGGAACTCTGATATGTGAAAAAAAAGTATTATTTTATAGACCTATTATTATTTAAGTCAATTAAATTGTATTTGTTGCAAATACAGAAATTATTGATTCAAATGCAATTTACTTAATTCGAATAAAAACACAGGCACACAAAAAATAAAAAGCTGTTTGGCCGAGACACTACACTAGTCTATTTTTATGTATTTTTTCACGCTGAATCCGAATCCGAAGTCAGAATTATCAGATTTGCTTTTATTTTTGAGATAAACTCAAAAAACTGCTCAGAAAGAAAAATAAAATCAAAAAGTTAAAAAATTTTTGAATCTCACTGCGATAGTGTAATTCCATGTATTTTTTGTCGCTAAATCCGAATCCAAAGTCAGAATTGTTAGATTCGCTCAAATTTTTGAGATAATTGCAAAAAAACGCACGTAACAAAAAACTCAAAATACTCAAAATCAGTTTTTTGGAATTATCATCAAAATTTGAGCCAATCTGTCAATTCTGACTTCGAATTCGGATTCAGCATGAAAAAATACATGAAAATGTACTATCGTAAAATTTCGGCAAAAAAAATTATTTGTGCCCCTAATTCAGAATTTTGATCAGTTTTTGGCGATTTTAGCTCAAAGAAATTTTTTTTGCCGATACATTACGATAGTGCATTTTCATGTATTTTTTCACGCTGAATCCGAATTCAAAGTCAGAATTGACAGATTGGCTCAAATTTTGAAGATAATTTCAAAAAACTGATTTTGAGTATTTTGAGTTTTTTGTTACTTGCGTTTTTTTGCAATTATCTCAAAAATTTCAGCGAATCTAACAATTCTGACTTTGGATTCGGATTCAGTGACAAAAAATACATGGAATTACACTATCGCAGTGATATTCAAAAATTTTTTAACTTTTTGATTTTATTTTTCTTTCTGAGCAGTTTTTTGAGTTTATCTCAAAAATAAAAGCCAATCTGATAATTCTGCCTTCGGATTCGGATTCAGCGTGAAAAAATACATGGAAATAGACTAGTGTAGTGTCTCGGCCAAACAGCTTTTTATTTTTTGTGTGCCTGTGAAATTAATTGATTTAAGTAAATATTTATTTGCAAATAGTCACCGATTATTTGAATCAAATAATTTTTTTTTTCAGTGTAAAGCTTGAATTTAGATCAGATTTTAATAACACAAACTATGAACTAAAAACAACTTTTTAAAAATAAAGTTTTATATAGTTGGTAACAAATTTGAAAAATTTACAAGTAGAATTAAAACTTGTTCTGTTTTTTTTTTTATTAATATTTTAACAAACTCAAATTAACGCTCATGAACAATAAGATGCCCTAATTTATAGTTGCGAGTCAAAACTTATATTTACGTGGTAACTAATTAACTGACATCCTTCTATTCAGATCTTGATTTTCATAATTGAAAACAAGTTGTTCTAATTAATGTGGAATCAAGTTGAGATTTTATTTACTTCCTGCCTTTTTTTTTTTTTTTTTTTTTTTTTTTTAGAAAATGTTTCTAGAGAAAAAAAAAAAATAGCATCAGAATCCTTAGAAATTAATGCTTTTGTCATTCGGGGGTGGTCTTTTCAGTTGCCTTGTCGGAAGCTTTTTTAACAAGATCCAGAAGTCTTCGTCGAGTTTCTAACGAAGTTTGAGTTAAGCAGAGTCCTTTCCAAGTTTTTATTGCAGGCTGAGAATTTATTAGTCGACTTTTCTACTGAAGAGATTAGCCTTACTTAAAGAACGAGTCAACAACTTATATTTGAGAAGTGAAAAAAATTTTTGATGACAAGTCTACTAAAGTTTTCTCTCTTATTTTCACCTACTTTCAAAAGTAAACGACACTTTTAAAGAAAAAGAAAATGTTTACCAATTTTTTGATTGCAGTTGTTTTTTTTTATCTTTTTTCTTTATTTAAATGTTTAAGATAATTAATATTTATATAAAAAATTCATTTTTTTCCCTTCACTTTAATTAAAATATAAAGAAAATTTCGCATATATCGCATATACATGTGTTAATTAGGAAAAGTGTTGAAAGTTTTCATATGGGAAAAATTTTTATTTTCCCCACAGCATTTTTCGTCGACTTTTTTTCCAAAACTTTTACTTAGATTGAATGTCTGTGTATCTATCTTGCATGCGCTAGAGTAAGCAGGATTGCGGAATCAAAAGGAGGCTAGAACTTAGTCAAAGGGACTTTCGTGAAATTCTGCCATCCCCTAGCTTGACTGAAATTCATAATCCTTTCCTTTGATGCGGTTTTCACCTTCGCTTCCAAGTGCTTCTAAGTCCAAAACCTTCACATTCTCCGCAAGTGAAAAACTTTTTTCAAGTTATCTCAAAAGTTTTTAGAATCGTGTTTAGATTTTTTTATGAATTTTTTGTTTTTCTTGAAAAAGATAGTGAAGAAATATTGTAATTTAGACTTTATTGTATTTAAGATATATTTAAGATATATATCATTTTTTTTCTTGACATTTTTATAATTGCCGCGCGTTACTAGGGATAGTGGTAAGCGATTGGTCGGACTCGCTCACTTAATATCCCAAAATTCTATAAAAAGGTTTCTTTATTTATTTACTTATTTCTTTGTTTCTTTCTTTATTTACTTCTTTATTTACTTCTTTATTTACTTATTAATTAATTAATTAATTAATTTTTTTAATTACTTATTTATTTTACTTCAAATTAATAGTTTTGTCAATAAAATTTTAATTCAAATTATGACATTAAGTCCTTGACTTTTTCAATAAACAATATTTATTCCTTGCATTAATCATCGATTTTTCAAAACTTACGTGTTACGATTTATAGGCAACTTTCCCACGTTTCACAATGTTTGGAATCGATCGCATGTAAAATGGTTTTAAAAAACGTAATAAAACATTGTATATTATGTATATATATATATATATATATATATATATATATATATATATATATATATAGTTTAGATAGAGACGAATGAAAGGAGTGCAATATTCGAGAGAAAGATCGTTTAGTGATCCCTGGAAAATCGTGTTTGACATTCGAATGAACCGACACCTGCTTTAAAATCCTTTCTCACAGCGTGGCGCCAAGTCTCCTTTTTTTTCCATTTGATTCTTCATCTCCCTCGTTTATACACGGGATTCTTTATAGTAACAGACACGCGACACGAATTGCGATTATTTTTTCATCTTGACATATTATTCTCTCTTAATTATTTTCTTTTTGGTAAATTTTTACACTTTTCTTTCTACAATGATGAGAAAATTTATTTGAATTCAAATAATCGATTACTTGGAAGAAAATAAATATTTCCTTGAACCAAGTAATTTTTTTTTTTTTTTAAACTAATTTAAATTAGTAGCTCATTTTTTATTCATTCAAATTTACCGCTGGCAATTTTTGGTTGGGTAGAGAGTTTTTTCTTTTCGAATAATTTTTCAGTGTATTGTAAATTTAAAAAAAAACACTGGATCAATAATTTTCAATTAACAAATTCGTTTTAAAAGTATATATACATAAAAGAATGTTAAGTAGAAAAAAAAAAATTAATTGATTTCCAAAAGTTTGCATTTTATTGCATCAAATAATTGAACTCTTGCATTCCTCTTTCGAGTCGAGCGTATATATATACTTCATGACCTTTCGCTTCTTTCTAGTGCCGAGGTAAAGTGCAAAGTTAGCGAATTCCTCTTTTCGAGAAGTCAGGAAGATGCTTTTCGCAAATTTTCCTGGAAGCATTCTGAAGCTGAATTTGTGTTTTTCTTTGGCGGACGTCGAGTGGCGATTTCCCGATGGATCCCTAGAGAGGGATGTTGTGGGGAAAGGGGGGGGGGGGAAACTCTTACCATTTGAGAAGAAGTTTCTGTTTGGAAACGCGTGGCGCCTCATGGCAGGCAGGAAAATCGAGAAAGGATAAAATTGACCCAGCATGACGTGCATTTGTGATAAAAAAAAAAAAAAAAAAAGGGGAGGACTTTTTAAGAGAGAGAAAGACTGCGATTCGCTTTGGACGGTATTGGGAGACATCGGTGATTTTATTGTACCTTTTATATTGCCTTCATGCATTTTCCCTCTTTCTCTCACTTCCACCATCGATTGATCCGCTATTTTTAAACTCCTCTTTTTTTTTTTTTTTTTTATTCCATTTTTGCAAACGATTCGTCGCCTTCCTTCTTTTGCGCTTGTTCCAATCCGTGAGAACGATTCGAAACGTCGTTTTACGAGGGACTGCAAGAACTCGAGTTGAAATTGAAATTTCGCGAGATGTTCACCGAAGATCCAGTACTGATCCACTTCCCCTGGGGATCGACTTTAATGCCGGTTTATTTGCACTGTTCTCGGAACGAAAAGAGTTGAATAAAATTTCCCACTGAGGTATGGCATTAAGAAACTTGAGTCGGGGTTGAAAAAAAAAAAAAACGTAAATCTCGAATTTTACGATAAAATGGATTTTCTTCAATTTCTTTCGTTCATTAGTTTATAGAATACAAATATTTATTGAGGAGAGAGAGAGAGAGAGAGGCGACACGTAATGTAATTGCTTTCTTCCATTCGAAATAGTTTTTTTTTTAATGAAAAAATTTTGTGAGTATAATAAAAATTTTATATTTAAAATATACCAATTGCTAAATTGTAACAAGTCAATTAGGGGTTATTTTCTACTCTTTAAAGGAGCGCT